AGAGTTTTGCCTCAATGTTGATGGCTGTTGATTGATCAGGGTTATGGGTGCTGAAGACTGGGGTGACTGTGGCAAACAGTTTTTTTTTTTTTTTTTTTTTGAGACGGAGTCTCACTCTTGTCACCCAGGCTGGAGTGCAATGGCATGATCTCAGCTCACTGTAACCTCTGCCTCCTGGGTTCAAGTGATTCTCCTGCCTCAGTCTCCTGAGTGGCTGGGATTAAAGGTGCCTACCACCACACCTGGCTAATTTTTGTATATTTAGTAGAGATGGGATTTCACCATGTTGGCCAGGCTGGTCTTGAACTCCCGACCTCAGGTGACCTGCCCGCCTCGGTCTCCCCAAATGCTGGGATTACAGGCATGACCCTGGCAAGACTGGGGCAATTTCTTAAAACAACAGTGAAGCTTGCCACATTGATGGGCTCTTCCTTTCACAAAAGATTCCTCTAGTATGCAATGCTGTTTGATAGCATTTAACCCATGGTAAAACTTTCAAAATTGGAGTCAATCCTTCTTCTCAAACCCTGCCACTGATTATTAAGTTTATATAATATTCTAAATCCTTTGTTGTCATTTCAACAATATTCACAGCATCTTCATTAGCACAGTGCATCTCAAAAGAAACCACTTTCTCTGCTCATTCATGAGAAGCAACTCCTCATCCACTCAAGTTTTATCATGAGATATCATGCAGCTATTCAATCACATGCTCAGGCTCCACTTCTAGTTCTCTTGCTATTTCCATGACATTTGCAGTTACTGCTTCCACTGAAGTCGTGAACCCCTCAAAGTCATCCACTGGAGTTGGAATCTAATTCTTCCAAACTCTTGTTAATGTTGATATCTTGACCTCCTCCCATGAATCATGAATGTTCTTAATGGCATCTAGAATGGTGTATCCTTTCCAGATTTCAATTTACTTTGCCCAGATCCATCAGAGGAATCACTATCTATGGCAGATATAGCCTTATGAAATGTATTTCTTTTTTTTTTTTTTTTTTGAGACGGAGTCTCGCTCTGTCGCCCAGGCTGGAGTACAGTGGCCAGATCTCAGCTCACTGCAAGCTCCGCCTCCCCGGGTTCACGCCAGCCTCCCGAGTAGCTGGGACTACAGGCATCCGCCACCTCGCCCGGCTAGTTTTTTGTATTTTTTAGTAGAGACGGGGTTTCACCGGGTTAGCCAGGATGGTCTCGATCTCCTGACCTCGTGATCTACCCGTCTCGGCCTCCCAAAGTGCTGGGATTACAGGCTTGAGTCACCACACCCGGCCATGAAATGTATTTCTTAAATAACAAGACTTAAAAGTCAACACTGATTGGGCATGGTGGCTCATGTCTATAATCCCAGTACTTTGGGGGGCCATGGCAGGCAGATCGCTTGAGCACAGGAGTTCAAGAACAGCCTGGGCAACACTGTGAAAACCCATCTCTACTAAAAATACAAAAATTAGCAGGGTATGGTAGCACACACCTTAAGTCCCAGCTACTTGGTAGGTTGAGGTAGGACGATTGCTTGAGCCCAAAAGGTGGAGGTTGCAGTGAGCTGAGATCATGCCACTGCACTCCAGCCTGAGTGGCAGAGTGAGACCCTGTTTCAAAAAAAAAAAAAAAAAAGCAACTAGTCAACTGGCTGCAGAATAGATATTACATCAGCAGGCATGAAAACAACATTAAGGCTGGGCACAGTGGCTCATGTCTGTAATCCCAGAACTTTGGGAAGCAAAGGTAGGAGGATTGCTTAAGCCTAGGAATTCCAGGCTGGCCTGGGCAACGCAGTGACCCCATCTCTCCAAAAATAAATTTTAAAAAAAAAGGCCAGGCACGGTGCTCATGCCTGTAATCCCAGCACTCTGGGAGGTCAAAGAGAGCAGATCACTTGAGGCCAGGAGTTCAAGACCAGCCTGGTCAACATGGCAAAACCCCATCTCTACTAAAAATATAAAAATTAGCAGGGCATGATGGTGTGCACCTGTAACCCCAGCTACTTGGGTGGCTGAGGCAGGAGAATTGCTTGAACCCGGGAAGCTGAGGTTGCAGTGAGCTGAGATTGTGCCACTACACTCCAGTGTGGGAGACAGAGCGAAACTCCATCTCAAAAATAAATAAATAAGAAAAAAAGAAAAAGAAAAAGAAAAAGAATGGCTGGGTGTGGTGGCTCATGTCTGTAATCCTAGCACTTTGGGAGGCCAAGACAGGTGGATCACTTGAAGTCAGGAATTTGAGACCAGCCTGGGCAACCTGGTGAAGCCCTATCTCTGCAAAAAATACAAAAAGTTAGCTGGGCATAGTGGTGTGCACATGTAGTTCAAATTACTTGGGAAGCTGAGATGGGAGGATTGTTTGAGCCCAGGAGGTAGAGGCAGCAGTGAGCTGAGATCACACCAGTGCACTCCAGCCTGACAAAGTGAAATCCTGCCTCAAAAAAGAAAAGAAAAAGGAAAAATATTGACCAATGAGGTGGCTCAGGTCTGTAATCCCAGCACTTTGGAAGGGCTCACTTGAGCCCAGGAATTCGAGATCAGCCCGGCAACACAGTGACACCTTGTCTCTACCAAAAAGAAAAAAAACAACAACAAAAAACAAACCAAACCAAAACACATACACATAGATAGATAGATGACAGACAGATAATAGAGAAAAAAAATTAGCTGGGCATGGTGGCATCTGTCTTCGTCCCAGCTATTCGGGAGGCTGAGGGAAGAAGATTGCTCAAGCGCAGGAGATTAAGGCTGCAGTGAGCCATGATGGTGCCACTGTACTTCACCCTGGGAGATAAGAGCAAGACCTTGTCTCTAGAAAAAAAAAAAAAATTGGTTTCTGAGCAGTAGGTCTCAACAGTGGGCTTATTCAGTAAATCATGCTGTAAATAGATGTGCTGCCATCCAGGGCTTTGTTGTTCCATTTATAGAGCATAGGCAGAGTAGATTTAGCATAAGTCTTAAGGGCCATCGGATTTTCAGAACAGTAAATGAGAACTGGTTTCAACTAGATGTCCTAGATGGCATCTTCCAATGTAAGTCTGTTTCTTCTACCTTGAAAATCTATTGTTTAGTGTAGCCACCTTAATCAGTGATCTTAGCTAGATCTAGAAAACTTACTGCAGCTTCTACATCAACACTTGCTGCTTCACCTTGTACTTTATTATGGAGATGGCTTCTTTTCTTTCTTTCTTTCTTTTTTTTTTTTTTTTTTTGAGATGGAGTTTCGCTCTTGTTGTCCAGGCTGGAGTGCAATAGCGTGATCTCAGCTCACTGCAACCTCCAGGTTCAAGTGATTCTCCTGCCTCAGCCTCCCAAGTAGCTGGGATTACAGGCATGCTCCACCATGCCCGGCTAATTTTGTATTTTTAGTAGAGACGGGATTTCTCCATGTTGGTCCTCTGGTGATCCACCCATCTTGGCCTCCCAAAGTGCTAGGATTACAGGCACGAGCCACCGTGCCCAGTTGATGGCTTCTTCTCTTAAACCTCATGAACCCACCTCTGCTAGCTTCCAAATTTTCTTCTGCAACTTCCTCACTTCTCTTAGGCTTCAAAGAATTGAAGTGTTAGGGCCTTGATGTGGATAAGGTTTTGGTTAAGGGAATGTTATGGCTGGTTTGATCTATCCAGACCACTAAAATGTTCTCCATATCATCAAAGTTGTTTCACTTTCTTATCACTTGTGTATTCACTGGAGGAGCACTTTTAGTTTCCTTCAAGAACTTTTCCCCTGCACTCACAACTTGGCTGTTTGGCACAATGGGCCTACCTTGCAGCCTGTCTTGGCTTTCAGGATGCCTTCCTCATCAAGCTCAATCATTTCGAGCTTTTGATTTAAAGTCACAGATACGTGACTCTTCCTCTCACTTGAAAACTTAGGGGTCTCTGTAGGGCTATTAATTGGCCTAACTTTATTATTATATCTCAGTCAATAGGGAAGCCTGAGGACAGGGAGAGAGATGGTGGAACAGCTGGTTGGTAGAGCAGTCGGAACACACAGCATTTATTAAATTCACCATAGTGTTGCCCCAAAGCAATCAGAATAGTAATATCAAAGATCACTGATTACAGATCATCGTAACAAATATAATAGTAATGAAAAAGTGTGAAATATTTCAAGATTTACCAAAATGTAACACAGACACAAAATGAGCACATGATGTTAGAAAAATGGCGTTGATAGAGTTGCTCAATGGAGAGTTACCACAGCCTTCAATTTGTAAAAAAAAAAAAGATAATGCAGTATCTGTGAAGTGCAATAAAGCAAAGTGCAAAAAATGAGGTATTCCTGTACATGTGCTGCCAAAGTGAGTGCTATATACATTCTTAACCTGGACCAAGAGCAGTATTCAAAATAACAACCCTGGCCAGGCATGGTGGCTCACGCCTGTAATCCCAACATTATGGGAGGCCGAGGCAGGTGGACCACTTGAGGTCAGGAGTTTGAGACCAGCTCCCAGCCATCATGGTGAAACCCCGTCTCCACTAAAAATACAAAAATTAGCCTGGCGTGGTGGTGTACGCCTGTAATCCCAGGTACTCAGGAGGCTGAGGCAGGAGAATCATTTGAACCCGGGAGGCAGAGGTTGCAGTAAGCTGAGATTGTGCCACTGCACTCCAGCCTGGGTGACAAGGTGGGGCAAGCCTGTCTCAAAAACAAAATAATAACAAAGAAACAAACAAAAAAAAACAACTCTGAGGATACATTTGTAGCCCGAGGCAACTAAAGCAAGAAATATCTTCTTAATGCACAGACCTACAGTTGATCATTTTACTGAATCTACATACACATTCCACTTATATGATTACATATACACATCAGTATAGACTTACATTCTATACATATGACTCTCCCATACTCAACAAGAAATCGCCAAGAGCCTGAATCAAAGGATACCAATAAAACAAACCCTAAACTAGGAAGTGGGAGGGAAAGGAGAAAAGGGATGAGGGAGAAAAAGAAAAAAGAGGAAGGATGAAGGCAGGGTGGAAGCTAATATTAATAAATATTGAGTACCTACTGTATACACACCACCATTTGATGGTTGCTTCTTCGTTTCCACGCTTTCAGTCTTGGCCCTACATCCATTTTTCACACAGCAGTCTAACTGTGGTCTTCAAAACCCTGTGTTATCTGTCCCCTGTGCACCCCATCCTGTGCCACTCCTCTTCTTCAATGCTCTGCAGCCACAAGAGGCACTTTGTGTTCCTAGAATGCTCTGACTTCTTTGCTGCCACAGGGCCATTGAACTTACTCTTTACTATGCCTGAACTGCTTTCCACATCACTTATTCTTTTTTCATTTTTTGAATTTCAACTCAAACATCACCTTCTAAAGGAGTAGCGCCCAGCCACTTAGTAACCCTCTATTTCCTTTATCACAATCTGAAACGTTCCTGTTTGTCTAGTTCCACCCACCAACTTCGAGAGCAAGGACCAGTAATGTCTTGCTCACCACCCCACCTCCCGGGAGTTAGAAGGGTACCTGGCACCTCAGGCACCTGTTAATACTGGCTGAATGGCTGTTCGAAAAGTTCTTAAATGTATATTAAGGATAAGGACCCTGAGGTTCAGAAACATTAAAGTGACTTGTTCCAAATCCGACAGCGCCAGGTCTGAACCTAGCCAGCTGAGGCTAAGTCAAGTAACAAACGACGAAACGGAAAGCTTAGCAAAGAGGCAGGGTAGCGACAAACACGACCTGAAGTTCCTTCTCTTTATACCAAGGGATATCCACACCTCTCTCTCCCACCCTGACCGACCGCGGGGCCTCCCCGCCCAGCCCCTGGCCGTGGGAGTCCCTTACTAGGTGGGGATGAGAAGGCATTTGAGGAGGGTCACCCCGAGCGCCAAAGCCGAAAACCAATTGCCAGTCCCCGCGGCAATTGTGAAAGCCGCCATTGCTGCGGCACCGCACGCTTCCTACCAACTTGATCCACATCCGGGATCCCGCGCATGCGGAGAAGGCCCACTGAAGCGGAGCCCGCGAGCTGCGCGCATGCGGCGAGCCGCGCAGCCAGTGAGAGCACTGCAGTCAGCTATTGAAACCTCCCGGCCACTTTTTCATTACAGCCGCGTTTCCCCCCGGGCAGAAAGGGCTTCTGCGCTGGCCTTTGTAGCCACTTTTAAGTTTTATCGGCTAGTTCATACTTGCATAGAAAGAGTGGTCGTTTGCTCTGAGTTATCACTGTGTAGTATTGGGGATACTTAGGTGAGAAAAAAAAAAAAACAACGCTAGAGACGTGCATGCACTAGTGGAGAAGTCAGGATTGTTGCCCTAGAGTTACAGTAGATAAAAGTACCATGAGAGAACTGCGGGGGCTCCCAACCTGGATGCCTGCACCGGAGTATTAAATCCAGCTAGAGAATGGCACATGTGCAAAGATACAGAGGTGAGAAACATTGTTTTTAGAACTCTGAGCGAGGCTCTTGGCTCAGCTCCTCCTTGAGCGGAACCCATTCTGGAAGCAGGGTAGAGGCTAGTCCTAACGCTTAATGTACAGATAACCTACGGTTCATGTTAAAATTCAGATTCTGATTCAGTAGGCCCAATAAAGTCGCAGATTGCGAAAAGACTGAGGCACATGCAATGGAATTAGACTTGTCTCATTATTTTACTGTGTGATCTTGGACAAATTCTCTAAACCTGAGTTTCTTTTTTTCTTTTATTATTTTTTTTTTTTGAAAATAAGAGATAAAAATGGTTTCTGGCCGGACGCTGTGCTCACGCCTGTAATCCCAACACTGGGAGGCCGAGGCGGGCGAATCACCTGAGTTCAGGAGTTTGAGATCAGCCTGGCCAACATTTAATTAAAAATTTTTTAAAAAATTAGTTGAGCATGGTGGCGGGCGCCTGTAATTCCACTTACTCGGGAGGCTGAAGCTAGAGAATCGCTTGAACCTGGGAGGCGGAGGTCGCAGTGAGCTGAGATCGCGCCATTGCACTCCAGCCTGGGAGACCAGAGCGAAACTCCGTCTCAGAAAAAGTTTCAGCCTCATAAAGTGGTTGTGAGGATTAAATAAGGATGCATGTAAATTGCTTGATATGATTCCAGGACAAAATAAATGCTCAATAATGTGTCAGATCAGTTAATTATCTTGCTGAAAGATGCATAGCAAGTCGGTGACAGTGTCACCTCCCTAATATGAGTTTATGCCCTCCCACAGCTTCAACCGCCACCCATGTGAATATGATGCACAGATTTATAGCTCAGCGCTGACTCCTCTCACTTCCAGACCCTGATCTCCAGTTGACTACCTGACCTCACGTAGATGTTTTCGTTTTGTTTTTGAGAGACAGGGTCTCATTCTGTGGCCCAAGTTGGAGGGCAATAGTGCAAACACAGATCACTGCCACCTTGACCTCCTGGGCTCAAGCAGTGCTCCGCACCTCAGCCTCTTGAGTAACTGGGACCACAGGGATGTGGCAACGTGTGTGTGTGTGTGTGTGCGCGCGTGCGCGCGTATGTAGAGATGGGATCTCCCTATGTTGTCCTTGCTGGTCTCAAACTCCTGGGCTCAAGTGATATTCCTGCCTTAGCCTCCCAAAGTATTGGGATTACAGTTGTGTGCCACCATGCCCAGCTACTTAGATGTTTTAAAGGCACTTTGCATTAATTTTCTATTTCTGCTGTAACAAATTACCATAAACTTAGTAGCTTAAAACAACACAAATTTATTCTCTTACAGTTCTGTAAATCAGAAATTTAAAATCAGTCTCACTGGGCTAAAGTCAAGGTGTCATTTGGATTGGCTGCTTCCAGAGGCTCTGCAGGGAGATGGTTTTTCTTGCCTTTTTCAGCTTTTAAAAGTTGCCTGTATTCCTTGGCCCCTTCCTCACATCACTCCAACCTCCTTCCATCCTTACAATCGATTACTTTCCTGTAATAGCTACGGTCAAATGGGCAGCTGAAGATGATGATGAAGATGATCTTGACACCGAGAAGCAGAATACCAATGAGGATGACCAGACATCAAAAAAGGAAAAGTTAAAAGAAGGTAAAAGAAGGCTACTCATACTTGCTGTCTCAGTATGTAAAGGTGGTCATCTACCAGTAGAGAGGCCCACCCACTGCAGACAGTGCCACCGAAGGTGACATGCACTTTCTACCACCCATCCAAAACTGTAATGTGAATCTGCAACAGGAGAGGAAAAAAGAACCAAAACTTCCAAGGCCCTGCATTTTTTCTTCAAAGCATTTTTTTTTTTCTTGGAGATGGAGTCTCACTCTATTGCCTGGAGTGTAGTGGCATAATCTCGGCTCTCTGCAGCCTCTGCCTCCTGGGTTTAAGCAATTCTCTGCCTCAGCCTCCCAAGTAGCTGGGGTTACAGGCGCATGCCACCACACTCGGCTAATTTTTGTATTTTTAGGAGAGATGGAGTTTCACCATGTTGGCCAGGCTGGTCTTGAACTCCTGACCTCGTGATCCACCTGCCTTGGCCTTCCCAAAGTGCTAGGATTACAGGCATGAGCCACCACACCCAGCCAAAAGCATTTTTTAAAAGAAAAATTGGTCTATATTTTTTGTTTCTACTTTATATTTTTGTACATATTTTTAGAGGTCAGGCATTTTTAACAATCTTGGATGACCAAAACAGCTTTCAGAGTGTTCTTCACCCAACTTCTGACTTTACTTGTAGTGTGATCATGTTCATTAGAATCTCAAAGGAGGAAGAAAAACAAACAAACGCATAAAAAAAAAAAAGCAAAAATAGATCGGGTGAGGTGGTTCATGGCTGTAAGCCCAGCACTTTGAGAGGCTCAGGCGGGTGCATCACCTGAGGTCAGGAGTTCAAGACCAGCCTGGCCAACATGGTGAAACCCTACTCTACTAAATATACAAAAATTAGCCAGGCTTGGTGGTGTGTGCCTGTAGTCCCAGCTACTCAGGAGGCTGAGGCAGGAGAATTGCTGGAACATGGGAGGCAGAGGTTGCAGTGAGCTGAGATCACACCACTGCACTCCAGCCTGGGCGACAGAGTGAGACTGTCTCAAAAAAAGCAAAAACAGGCCAAGCATGGTGGCTCATGCTGTGATCCCAGCATTTTGGTAGGCCTAGGCAGGTGGATCACCTGAGGTCAGGGGTTTGAGACCAGCCTAGCCAACATGGTGAAAACCCATTTCTACTGAAAATACAAAAATTAGCCAGGCCTGGTGGCGGGTGCCTGTAATCCCAGCTACATGGGAGGCTGAGGCATGAGAATTGCTTGAACTCAGGAGGCGGAGGTTGCAGTGAGCAGAGATCATTGCACTGCAGCCTGGGTGACAGAGTAAGACTCTGTCTCAAAAATAAATAAATGCAAAAACAACAAATCTTATTTTTTCAACCTGTTTGATATATGTGTGAAACAATATTATCCAACAATAAACAGGAATCTTATTTTTCTGAGGTTTTTTTCCCTAACTTCATTTCTAGTGAATTTTCTGAGTTCTAACAAAAAATGGTACAGACAGTTGTCATGAATTGTACCCCTTTTCTCATTCTTTCTGCTTTAGACTTGAACATGAGGCATAAAGCTAGACTCAGCTGTAAGGAAAAACTGCCTCATGCTGACCCTGACATCATTGAGCTAATAAACAAATCTCTCTACCTCCAGACTTACTATGTGAGAACACACACACACACGTGTTACCAAAACACCAGGGGTTCCGATCTAGTTCCTGTTGCTTGCCTCACAGAAAGCCAATCACTGAGATGATTATTGCCAAGGAATAAGGCTTTAATCAGGTGCTGCAGAGAAACAGATGGGAGATAAATCTCAAACTTGGGTCCCTGACTGACTAAAACTAGGTTTATATAGCAGTGAGGAAATGTAATAATGTATTTTTTTAAAAAAAAGGAACTAGGGAGGAATAAGGAAGCAATCATGATGAATGAGGGGCCTGGCATCTCATTGTCTGGATGCTGTGATCTGGTGAGTTTCAGTTCTTTGATACTTTTTTTTGAGAGACCTGAAGGTCATTTCCTGAGGAAGGAACTCAGATAAATATGACTTTCCAGCTTTAAGACCAGAAGGGTCAATTTCTATCTTTGTCCAAAAAAAAAACTAAGGTACTATTGGGTTAGGTTCACACATGCCCACACCACCCTTAGGTGTTTAAGCCACAGTTGGTCAGGTTGCCTCTTCTTCCAGCAAAAGCATTTCTCACTGCTCTTGCCAGTTCCTGTCTATTTAACCTCCTAGTTGTCTCTCACATTCATGCATTCCTCTTCACCCACCTTTGCCACTCTAGGCACAATGACATGCTTTCAGCCTTTGGTACATGCCATGTTCCCTCCTGTCACTGCCCTTTATACATGACCTTCCCTCTGTCATGTTCTTCCTTCTCCCTTTAGGCTAGTTAGCTCTTCATCCTTTAGCTCTTATAGCAAGCACTGCTTCCCCAAGACAACCTTCCCCAACCTCCCCTTATCCTACCCTGGGCACCTGTCAGCTGGATGCAATTTTATACTATGTGTGTGATTATCTAATTATCTTACTAGTTAGTCACTCCATGAGGACAGGGACCTTTTCTGTTTTATTCATTATTGTAGTAGCAGCAACCCACATAGCAGCTGACACAACAGATATGCTCTATATTTGTTGAATGGCATGAATGTCTAAAACAGGATTCCAACCCAGTTTCTCCTACTTGAGTCTCTGCTTATCCCCAGTAGCTGGGACTACAGGCATGTCATGTGCCACCATGCCTCTTTGGTTCAGCTTTAAAGAATAAAAGAATTGGCTGCATGCAGTAGCTCACACCTGTAATCCTAGCACTTTGGGAGGCTGAGGCGGGTGGATCACAAGGTCAAGAG